AATGCAAAAAGGCTATTTTGAAATTTATTGCTGATGCACTACCCCACCTCTCTCTTCCCCATCTGTCCTCTATCTGTTCTCTCCCTATCTTTCCTATCTATTCCCCCTCCTTCTACCTTTCCACCTCGCAACTTACCCTTTCTTCCTCAATCTCCTTTCTCATCCCAATGCCCTCCTGCCTACCCCCTCTCTGCTTTTGCCCCAACACCAAATGCATCCATTCAAAGCCACTCAGATTCTGCATTCCACTTTGGGGTCTGGTGATGCCTTAACAGGAATCTCACAAGTGCCTTGGGCCATCCCTACTTTTCTCTTTTCAGTCAGGTTTCACAGAATTATGTCAAATTTATCCATTTTTCTCTCATTAAGTCCAACTGTACAAGATGCCTGATTGCAGTGAACAGTCGCTATGTAGCCAGCTTTGCCAGCAATTCAGAGCCGGCTGATCAACTGTAGCAACCTTCATAGCTTTACAGGAACTGTTTGACTAACTCTGGTTGTTGGATATTATGTACTTAAAACTGTGCTGTAAGAAGCATTTATCTTACTGGCTCCATAAGTGAGAATTCCTGAACAGATACAAACCCCAGCATAGATAATAAACTTCCTCCAGTAAATCTGAATGAGGCATCAATGACAACTTGTATTTGTGTAGTTAACACAGCAAAACATCACAATCTGCTCCACAGACACAATATTGTTCAAACATTTGACATTGAGTCACATAAAGGTATATGTAGACATGACCACAAGTTTATTCAGATCAAAAGGATATGTTAAAAGGATAGAGAGACTGAGAGGTTTCGGGAGAGAATTCCAGTGTCTACACCTCTGGTCACTGAAGGGATAATGAAGATTGCGGAATTAAAATCAGTGATGCTTAGAATTAGAGGAGTTCTGGAAACCTCGGATGGTTGGGGGTCTGGAGAGAATGAGACCAGGGAAGGATTTAAACATTCGGTCGTGAATTTACAGCACTGTCGGTGAATCGAGACCCAGCAACGGGAAAGTGTGCACAGGAAATGATGGATGGACTGGACTTGGTCTGAGTTTTAGGATAGGGACAGCAGACGAGAGTTGTCAGATGGGAAGTATCTCAATAGCGAAAGTGAAATCCAGCCAAAGGATTCAACTCGAAGTGTCTGTAAGAGTTCAGATGCAATCATTTTAAATGTGCCACACAAGAGACTGACAACTTTATAATTGAGTTTACGCAGCCCAAACTCTTTCTGCAATTGATCTATGATGGGTCCTGCAAACTTCCTCAGTCTGCACGATTGCTACATAATCCGGACAGGTGCCCTGCATCCCCAACAACTCCTACCTTGTACACCTCCCCATAGGTTCCTCCGCCAACCCTCTGTATGATCTCAAAGTCATCTTGTGGGTTCTTCGAAGAGATATCCAAAGCTGCCTGATTTGTGCTCATTGTTCGACCATCAGCACCAACAATGAGCACATTTCATACTTCCTCGCACTCTCTACCTCCGACAGCAGCTTAAGGTCTTCTTGCACTCACGTGTTCATTTCCTGTCCCAGGACTGAAAATACCCGCAGTGTCTCACTGCCCTCTAGTGACTTTCAAGAGGACAGATCTCTTTCCTCGTCTATTGACTCCATTTTATCCCTATTTGTCAAGCATTCATTCCTTCCACACTCACCGGGACGTACAGCCGCTTTACACTTTCATATGTGACTGAAGTGTCACCCTTACAATAATCTTTTCACAGATGCTGGTTAACCTGAATACTTTTGGTAGTTCAGCTGGTTCCCTCTTAACCAGTGCAATATTTTGGAAGACAATTGTGAGCTACGCTCAAAATCATTGTGTTGGGTTTTGGGGCTGAGACGGGTGCTGTGACTAAGATAATGAGCTAAGCAGGTGAGGCTGAGGTCCTGGTTATAATTAAACTTTAAAAACATTGATACGTTGCAACTCCAGATTCCTGGAATGCCATCTATAGAACAGAACAAAGCAGAGTTAAGTAAGGATGCAATGGAGAGAGGTTGGGAGTGAGAGGCTTTTGTCCATCAGAAGTTATTCCTTTCGGGCATTCTTTCCAGTAATGTGAGAGGGGAGTGTTAACTAATCCCTTCTAAGTATTTTCTAATTATCCCCCAAATTGGGTTAGGGCTTAGGACACAATTTTAAGTGGGTTAGAGTCTAGATCCCCATGATAGCATTGGCTGGGATTAGGATTGAGAACTCTATGACAACATAGATAAATGTCTAGCACTCAAGTTTAACATGGCTTATGGTCTAGAGTAGGGGTCTAGACTATAAGGGGCTGCATGGTGGCTCACTGGTTAGCACTGCTGCCTCACAGCACCAGAAACCCAGGTTTGATTCCAGCCTTGGGTGACTGTCTGTGTGGAGTTTGCACATTCTCCATGGTTCTGCGTGGGTTTCCTCCGGGTGCTCTGGTTTCCTCCCACAGTCCAAAGATGTGCAGGTTAGGGTGGATTGGCCATTCTAAATTGTCCAGGGATGTGCAGGCTAGGCAGATTAGTCATGGGAAATGCAGGGATAGCGTAGAGGGGTGTGGGTTTGAGTGGGCTTGATGGGCTGAGTAGCCTGCTTCCACACTGTAGGGATTCTGCGATTCACAGTCAATTGTGGAAGTGAATGGGATGGAAGTTATGCTACAGTTGTAGAAATCCATGGTTGCAACACATCTGGAATATTTCATTCAGCTCCAGGTACTGCAACTCAGAAAAGAAAAAAATGAGCTAAGAGTTTCTCCAACAATTTCTGCTTTTGTTTCAGATCTTTAGCATCCGCAGTTTGTTTATTTCAGGAAAGATGCATTTGCCTGGAGCTGTTGTAACGCAAATTCAGCATTTCATCCCTGGTCCTTACACTCACCTTAAGACTTTTGAAGTAATTGCACATTAAGGTAGCACTCCTTCCTGGGTGATTCAACCAAGAAATGCAACTTAAATCTACAATATACCACTTTAGACCTCAGATGGTGCATTCTGTCCCAATTCCAACATAATTCCAGCTGTATGTCAATGCCTCGGAGATAACAAGAACTGCAGCTGCTTGAGGTAGTCAATACAGTATTGAGCTGGAGAAACACAGCAGGCCAGGCAGCATCAAAGGAGTAGGAGAGTCAACGTTTGGGGCCTAGACCCTTTATCCTACTGTCTGATGCTGCCTGACCTGCTGTGTTCCTCAAGTATGTCAATGCCTACCTTGCAGGGGGACTCCAGTTACATGGGGAGTCAGGACCCACCATCTCAGAATCTAACTTGATCTGTTGTCCATGGTGCTTTTGGCTAGTCAAAGGGGATCAAAGGGAAGTTGGGGAATGGCTGTAACTCCAGTCTTATGTAATTAGACTAACTATAAAGTAAGTTGCTATAGTCTTACCAGGCCATTTTGCTTCTCTTTCATTACAGACCTGAAGGTCACCACACCTCAGGGGGCAAGGAAAGAAATTGAGAAGGCGAGTCCTTCATGGTAACCTCAGCTGTGCAGGAATTGAATCCACGCTGTTGGTGTCATTCTGCATTGTAAAACCAGCTGTACAGCCAACTGAGCTAACTAACCCCCTCTTAAAGTTACCTTAGTCCCAGAGGGCCATAGGGCTCCTCTCATAAGAGAGACACAACTGGTGGTGGTTTAACCTGAGGGTCACTACACCTCAGACAAGGATAGAGATTGAGAAGAAAAGTCCTTCATGATAATCTCAGCCAGTGCAGGAATTGAACCCACATTATTGGCATCATTCTGCACCACAAACCAGCTGTCCAGCCAACTGGGAGAACAGCACTTGAATAGAGTGGAAGGGAAGATGTGTTTTCCCCTAACAGAGAGGTCAGTCACCAGGGTCAGAAATTTAATGTGTTGTCAATAGGGTTTTGAGAGGAAATAAAGAACACATTTTTTCATCTAGAAGGTGATGAGTGTCTGGGAGTTGTCCAGGTTGGTGATTGAAGTAGAAAACCTTGAAATGAACCTAGATCTGCACCTAAAGCACTTTAGCCTGCAGCCTACAGATCAGATGCCTGTGAGAGAGCGATAGATCAGAGTGGGCAGCTAGTTTGTTAAACCAGCTGGTGCAGACACAATGGACTGAATGGCCTCTTCCTATGCTGCAACTTTTCTATAGTTCTGTGTTGGATTGTCCTTAACCCAAAAAAAATCATTAGTCAGCATCCTTGGAATCGCAGAGTGATTCTGGAGCCTGGGCCTCATTTCCGAGCCAATTCCCTCAAACATTTATAAAAACGGAAATTGCTGGAAGAATTCAGCAGGTTTGGCAGCATCTTTACAAAGTCCTTCAGTGTCCAATGTCCCTTCTTCAGAACTGGTTGTAGCTAGGAAAATGTTGGTACATACACTAACGATGTGTCTGATTGCAAAGTTCAGCACAAGCTGGAAGAACAGCACCTAGTTTTCTGCTTGGGAACCCTGCAGCCTTCTATACTCAACATCTAGTTCACCAATTTTAGGGCTTAAGCACTTTCTCCCACCTGCCACACACCAAACTTTGTCATCATATGGGTTGCTACCATAAACAATCCATTGTCAGCCACTATCGGTCCCCATCAGCAGCTATTCATTCTCCCATGCTGACCTTTACCCAGTCCTTTGTCTGCTCAACTGTTTTTCTCGCTTGCTGAGCTCCCCCTCTTAGCATATGTAACAGTTTCCTAGCTACAATCAAGTCTAACGAAGGGTCACTGAACCCGAAACATTAGCTCTGCTTTCTTTCTACAGATGCTGCCAGACCTGCTGAGTTTTTGCAGCAATTTCGGTTTTCATTTCTGATTTCTACCATCTGCACTTCTTTGGTTTTCTTCCACCCCCACCCAAACATTTATTTGTTCTTGAGAGTAAGAACCATCCTGCGACCCTTTAACAAGTCAGATCTTGCATTCTTGAGGCACAATGTCAAGGGGTCAGAGGTGAAAAGTTGTCTGACCAAGAGAGTAAACCATTGAACTGTGAGAAATGACGGCCAGGAACCAAAGAAACAACGCAGGAAACATCAAAAGGCAAATGTTTATTGTTCTTAAATTAATTCTGTATAGCTCAAAAGCAGCACAGTGTAATTTTGTTATTTAGGTAATGCTGACAAAAGCAGGCATGGAAGAAAGAAGGACTGGAATGACCCACATGTGAACAGATTCAGGAAGGGCCTGGGCACTAAGGGGATAAAGAAAGGGAACAAAGCCCAGCTTCACTGTTATAATCTGAGTGTCTCCATGATTCCTTGGTGTTTGTTCCTTACAGGAACAGAGCCAGCAGAGCCCATGTCCTTTCGCACCCAAGATTAAGCCCCAAAATCTTGCCTGGCTGCTCAATAAATACATTGGATGGATCACTGTTGGTCATGAGGTTTAACGCTGGCACACTCTGCCCGCAGTGTGTGCCAGAACAATCTGCATCCATCCCACCTCCAACAGGAAGATGGCATGTGACATGTCCCCTTTGGGTAAAAGTTATAGCATTGAAAAATATTACCAGTGCCATCACTGTCAAAAAGAACAGGCAGTGACAGGCAGAGCACCTCGATGAGGGGCAACAAGGGGAGAGGAATAAAAAAACTTGTCAGACACTGTGGAGCCCACACCCCAGGGAGAATCAGGGTCTATGAAACCTATACCCCAGGAAGAGCTGGGGCCTGTGGAATATGTGCCTCAAAGAGACTCTGGTTATGAGCAACCCATAACCATTGAGAGTCAGCACCTTTAGGAGAGGCAAAAAAAAAGCATTGCAAAATAAATAGATCAAATGACATTGCATCTTTATCCAGACCCTTGTCGACATTTGGCAAGTGTTCAAATGTTAACAACTTGGAGTAACTAAGGCATGCAGAGGACAAAATATATACACACATTATATGTACAGAATCTCAGTATTAACATACATACAGAAAAGTTAAAATTAGGCATGAGCTATTCAACTGGGCATTAGAAATATGGAAAATGGGAGAGGGGAACTTCTCTTTAGAAAAATAATGATGTGAACTTCACTAACATGCCTTGCTCCCTGTACATTGTTCTTCTGCACGGAACTCCGAGATCCGTATATAGCAGCAACTTTCAGAACTAGAAATTGATGCTGCAAGCAGTGTGGCACATCAATTGCTGTGCATGGACCCTCAGCACAGCTACATGCGTGCAAACTTAGAGGGAATGTTGCTGACAAGGATAGAATTTCTTACCCATCTCTAATTGTGCTTGAGGTGGTGGTGAGCTGCCTTCTTGAAACTTCGCAATCGGTCTTATTACCAATTAATTACCCCTCCCACTATGGTGGTGCTTGGATGCACACAAGTAGGTCATCTGCACCTATTTCCACAGCCCAACCGAACTCTCTATTCACTTTGCTTCTGACATGAAGGTAATGAGCAGACCACCTCTCCTGTCAGTATCTCAGAAATTTCACAGAGACGGGCCATTCGGCCCAACTGGACTATGCTGGTGTCCATGCTTCATATGAGTCTCCTCCTACCCAACCTCATCTGATTCTATGAGTGCAAACTTTTATTCCTTTGCCTCCCTGTGTGCATATCCAGTCTCCATCCATGTGTAGGATTGTCTGCCAGCAGAAGCTAAAACTGTCTTTTCCTCAGGGGAAAAGGTATGAGCCCAGTGGCTTTAAAGTAGGGACTCTTATAGAGGAGAATGTTCAGAGGGCAGAAACTCCGCAAAGAGAAAGAGTTGTGGGGGGCGGGGAAAGAGTGTGGTGGTGGTGGAACAGCAGCCCAGGGAATTCTTATCGAAGTCTTTTGGGTTTTGGAACAACACCAGTTAATATTCCAAAAGTTTATAAAAAGGGAATAAATCCCCTGCACAAAGTGTCAACCGACAAGAAGATCCATTAGATTTTCTAACTCAGTAAAGTCTGTCCGGCTGTTGCGGGGTTTTGCCGAAGGGGTGCCTCGTGAAGCTTTGATGGGCTGGATAGTGGGACAGGCCCCAGCGGGGAAGCCCTGCTGGACATCATACATTGAGGTGTCAATGTCTTCAAAGATTGCGTCGAGAGAACCGTCGATGAGGAAGTCATCCGAGTCAGCAATTTCAAAGGCCCCGAAGATGGAATCGGGGGGCTTGGGCTCCGCCCGGGGATCCGGGCTCGCTGGCTTCAGCGGCAAGAGGTGGTCATCTTCGGGAGGAGCTTGGCCTGGAGGGGGGCTCAGGTCCTCCACAAAGTCCAGGTCCTGAAGGATGGTGGAGATGGCAGAGGACAGTGAGCTGTCGTTACCAGAGAGGAGACAGAAGGGTGCCTCCGTGAGGCTCGGCGATGGTGCCCTGGTAAGGTTGTTGTTTAGGTCAGTTATCTCCTCTCCCATCTTGGAGACAGGTTGGTTGGTACCGCTGGTGGGTTGCTTAGGTGGCTGCAGTGGCATCTCGTTGAGCATCTCATTGCGGCCATTCTCCCAGTGGATCTCCGCTTGCAGCCTGCGCAGGGTATTGGCGATCAGCACTGAGCGGTGTAGGTTGCGCTCAGCCAGAACACAGTTCTGATGCAATTTAAGCAGCGAGATGTCTAGCAGCGTGCCGCAGTGGAAGGTTTGTGGGGTGCATTCTGCTGCAGTCTGCCCATCATCCTCGTGGCCTTTCCGCTTCACTCCTTTCCCCAACGGGAAACTGCACAAAACAAAAAGACACTAATCAACCCTCAGAACAGAAAATGCTAAAAAAAATCCTCACCAGGATCAGGCAGCAACTACGCAGAGAAGTGGAGTAAACATTGTAATCTTTCATTATAACTAGGAAAACTTTGAGATTTAGCAATTTTTAACGCAAAGAGACAGAGACAAAAGCAAGGCGAGGGAAAGAAAATTAAAGGGAGAGATTTGTGATAAAGGTACGAAATTCCGTAAATATTCAGCAGGTCTAAAAGGATCTACTGATAAAGAGAGAGTTTGAGGCTTTAGTTCTATTGGAAGGTCATTAATCTGAAATGTTGATCTACCAATATTGCCAGACCTGCTGGGTATTTCCAGTGTTTCCTGTTTTCAAAACACAATCTCAAAATATCATTTAAACCAAATGATGGAGAGTGCAGGAGTGACTAATGGGATGATGCTGGAAAGCAAAAGGAGATGGTAATGGGACAAGGAATAACGAAGAAAATTTGGTCCAAGAAGGGAAGTGGGAAAAGCAGAAAAATTACCAACAGCTCTTATCTTTGGGAAATCAGAGCTGTAGTTATTCTCAAGTTGTTGAGCACAATGCTGAGTCCAGAAAGCTATAAAGTGCCCAATTAAAAGATGGCATGATGTGATTCAGGTTTGCGCTGAGCTTCACTAGATCAGTTTGAAGAGGCAAGGACAGGACAGGAGTGGTAAACAATCAAAATCTCAGGGTCACACTTGCAGACTGAATGAGGTATTCCATAAAACGGTCACCCAATCTGCGTTCAGTATCTCCAGTGTAGAGTGGTTGCATTGTAAACAGGGAATATAGTATACCACATTTTACCTGTTTGGGGTTTTTGAGGCTTTGGTGAGAGGGAAATGAGGAAGTGAAAGGTCAGATACAATCAATTAATGAAGAAGGGTGGGAGATTGAAGGCTCTAGCCTTTCATCGAGAACGCTGCAGCTCCCGGTGACCCATAGAACATAACAGTGCAGTACAGGCCCTTCAGCCCTCGATGTTGCGCCGACCTGTGAAACCAATCTGAAGCCCATCTAACCTACACTATTCCATTATCATCCATATGTTTATCCGATGACCATTTAAATGCCCTTAAAGTTGGCGAGTCTACTACTGTTGCAGGCAGGGCATTCCATGTCCTTACTACTCTCCGAGTAAAGAACCTACCTCTGACATCTGTCCTGTATCTATCACCCCTCAATTTAAAGCTATGTCCCCTCGTGCTAGCCATCACCATCCGAGGAAAAAGGCTCTCGCTGTCCACCCTATCTAATCCTCTGATCATCTTGTATGTCTATTAAGTCACCTCTTAACCTTCTTCTCTCTAACGAAAACAGCCTCAAGTCCCTCAGTCTTTCCTCATAAGACCTTCCCTCCATACCAGGCAACATCCTGGTAAATCTCCTCTACACCCTTTCCAATGCTTCCACATCCTTCCTATAATGTAGCAACCAGAACTGTACACAATACTCCAAGTGCGGCCGCACCAGAGTTTTGTACAGCTGCAACATGACCTCATGGCTCCGAATTTCAATCCCTCTACCAATAAAACCTAACACACCATACGCCTTCTTAACAACGCTATCAACCTGGGTGGAAACTTTCAAGAATTGATGCACATGGACACCAAGATCTCTCTGCTCATCCACACTACCAAGAATCTTACCATTAGCCCAGTACTCTGTATTCCTGTTACTCCTTCCAAAGTGAATCACCTCACACTTTTCCGCATTAAACTCCATTTGCCACCTCTCAGCCCAGCTCTGCAGCTTATCTATGTCCCTCTGTAACCTGCAACATCCTTCCGCACTATCCACAACTCCACTGACTTTAGTGTCATCTGCAAATTTACTAACCCATCCTTCTACACCCTCATCCAGGTCATTTATAAAAATGACAAACAGCAGTGGCCCCAAAACAGATCCTTGCGGTATACCACTAGTAACTGAACTCCAGGATGAACATTTCCCATCAACCACCACCCTCTGTCTTCTTACAGCTAGCCAATTTCTGATCCAAACCGCTAAATCACCCTCAATCCCATGCCTCCATATTTTCTGCAATAGCCTACCGTAGGGAACCTTATCAAACACTTTACTGAAATCCATATACCCCACATCAACCGCTTTACCCTCATTCACCTGTTTGGTCACCTTCTCAAAGAACTCAATAAGGTTTGTGAGGCACAACCTACCCTTCACAAAACCGTGTTGACTATCCCTAATCAAATTATTTCTTTCTAGATGATTATAAATCCTATCTCTTATAATCCTTTCCAACACTTTACCCACAACCGAAGTAAGGCTCACTGGTCTATAATTACCAGGGTTGTCTCTACTCCCCTTCTTGAACAAGGGGACAACATTTGCTATCCTCCAGTCTTCTGGCACTATTCCTGAAGACAATGACGACATAAAGATCAAAGCCAAAGGCTCTGCAATCTCCTCCCTAGCTTCCCAGAGAATCCTAGGATAAATCCCATCCGGCCCAGGGGACTTACCTATTTTCACACTTTCCAGAATTGCTAACACCTCCTCCTTATGAACTTCAATCCCGTCTAGTCTACCCACTGCAATACTGTCACTCAGTCCAGGAGGTTGACCCCAGTCTATGTTGAGGTAGATCAGTCAAGGTGCTAGAACTAGCATCAAAGTAAAGATCAGCCGGTCATGGAAGTGCACAGATTTACACCAGTTAACAACTGGATAAACTGAACCATTGTTTTCTGTCACTGACCACTAAATCCATTTCCTTGTTATTGATCCTGTCTCTCTTCTTGGCTACTGAGTCTGAACCAAATGTTTTGCATCTTCAGCACCCTATTTGAGACAGAGGCGTGCACTTATTCTCTCCATCAGGAGGACTACCTGTTTCTACCTGTCATATCGCCAATCTCTGCCCATCAGCTTCTGAAACCCTCATTCACACCATTCCCTACTTTCAAACTCAACTGTTCAGTGTACTTGTAACCTAACCACCCGACAGCCTATGAAGTTCAGTGCTGTCATAAGTTGAACCAAATGCCATCACCCCATTTTTGTTGACTTACATTGCCCGTTACATGCTGGTGGATAGAAACCAATTAACAAATACTCTGAACAAAGATTATAAAAGAGATTTTTTAAAATTCCATTGACCATCTTTACAGATATCAAATGGAAAAACGTAACTTAGAAGAATGAATTATTTACAATGGATGTTCACCCACATGTTGCAGATCCATCAGCATATCATTATAGAAATACTCTCCTGATTTCTAATCAACTAGGTAGCAAGTTCAGTTGGAGGACTTCCTACAACTGAGTTCCCATGATCACGTAACACCAATTACTTTGCATTCCAGACAGAGAGGAGATCTTTCACTCCTTATGGATTTTCAAAGTCCAGGGTTTTGCCCAAATCATGCACTTATGTCTCCTGCAGCTGCTGGCTCGCTCCACGACAACATCCTATCTTTTAAGCTGCTGTGGTTGCCTTAGGTCTGCACTGTACATGTCCCTAATTAAACTCTTTGCTGCTCTCTTTTACTTCAGGAGGCTTGTCTGGTTAAAGTGGTGTTGCCAGTTGGTGTGGCTAGCTATTCAACTGCTGCATGCCTACTCCAATTATTGCTGGAAAAAGAAAACATATGGTGCAGTGTCGTTTTTAGCTGGCAGAAAACACTGTTTATAAATGTGTCTTTTCTGATCGACAGGATGGGACAAGTCGACTCCCACAGGAGTTGGTGCTGAAGCCTCAATTTTTACTATTTACATCAATGAATTAGAAGAGAAGGGTGAAGGCACGGGAGTTAAAATTTTGCATAACCGCTGAAATAGGAAAGTATTAAGAAAATATAATAAGGCGTTTGCTGATGGATACGGATAGGTTTGAGTAAGTGGGATGGTGTACAATGGGAGAAAATTTGAAGTTGAGCAGGAAGAGTGAAAAAACAAAACATTTCTTAAGCAGAGAATGACTGCAGAATTTTGAGATGTGAAGTGATCTAGCTGTTCTGATTCATGAAAACTTTGCTACGGAGGTACAGCATGCAAGAGGCTAATGGGATGCAATCCCTTTATTACAAGATGAATTGAACGTAAAGAAAGAATGTTATGCTTCAGTTACACAGGGAATTGGTGAGACCACATTGTGAATAGGGTGTGCAGTTTTGATCTTATTTAGAGAAGGATGTAAATTCATTGGAAGTGATTCAGAGGAGATTTGCTAGATTGACACCTGCAATGAGTAGGTTAGATTCATAGAATCCCTAGTGTGGAAGCGGGCCATTTGGCCCATCGAATCCACACTGACCTTCCAAAGAGCATCCCACCCAGATCCACCCCACTACCTTATCCCCGTAACCCTACATTTTCCATACCTAATCCACCTAGCCTGCACATCCCTGGACTCTACAGGGCAACTTAGCATGGCCAATCAACCTAATCTGCACATCTTTGGACTGGGAGGAAACACATGCAGACATGGGAGAATGTGTTTACAGTTGCCCGAGGGCGGAATTGAAGCCAGGTTCCTAGCACAGAGAGGCAGTGATGCAAGCTGCCGAGCCATCATGCCACCAGGCTGTCTTACAAGGAAAGGTTGGACAGTCTCGTTTCGTTTCTACTAAAATTTAAAAGAGTGAGCAGTGACTTGACTGAAGTAGACGAGATCCTGAATATGGAAAGGATATTTTCTCTTGTAAGGGAGTTCAGAACTAAGGGACACTGTTCTAAATATACAGGACACCTTTTTAGGTCCAGAATGAGGAGAAATTTTTTCAGGGTTGAAGGACTTGGGAACTTTGTTTCAGAAGGTAGTGGAAGCAGGGTCATTGAATATTTTTGAAGGCGATAGTAGATGGTTTTTAATTAAGAATCTAAGAGTACTGCAGATACTGCAAATCAAAAACAAGAACAGAAATTTCTGGAAAAGCTCAGCAGGTCTGAGTTCTGAGGAAGGGTCATTGGACCTGAAATGTTAACAATGATTTCTCTTCACAGCTGCTGTCAGACCTGCTGAGCTTTCCAGCAATTTCTGTTTTTGCGTAGATAGCTTCCTGCTAGGCAAAGGAATCAGACTTATAGGTAGATGAGAATGTGACATTTGGAATGCAAACAGATCGGCCATGATCTCATTGAATGTTGAAGCAGGCTCGAGGACCAAAATAGTTTACTTCTGTTCCTATTTCATGTTCATATGATTAAAACACATGCACTACACAATGATGATAAGAGAGGGATTCTTTATTACATTGATCGTGAATCTTGATAGACAATAATGGGAAAACTTAAATTAAATGAACAAACAAATTACAAATGATGAATGCCCAATTTTGCGGATCCATGAGGATATTGTTGTAGAGCTTAACGCCTGATCTCTAACCAGCTGGGTAATGAGTTCAGTTGCAGAAGCTCCTACAGTTAATTTCCCATTACCACGTGACACTGATGACCTTGTCGCCCAGGCCAAAAAGAGAGGTATTGCTTCTCGGAGTTTGTTGCACTGAAGTTTTGTACAGATCATTCAATCAGGTCTCCTCTACCACTTCCCAGCTTTCTAGTTTCTGTCAGTGACTTTGACCTTCACCAATTATGGCCCTGACTCTGCAAGGCTAACCCACGAGTCAGGAACTCTGCACCAACTCCTGGCTGCTGCCTTTCTCTCTGTCCCCATCCACACCTCCCTCCTCCTCCTCCTCCTCTCTCACTGAGGGATGTGCCAGTCAGCCTGGCTAGATATCCAGTAATTGCACACCAGTTTCAATTCCCCTTCCTGGTTTTCTAGCCAGCAACAGGAGCATCCTACTCAAGTCCTGACTTTCTGCTCCTTCTTCTCTGTCCCTTGCCCATTCCTCTGGATCTGCCCTCTGGCCCCAGCTTGCTAAAGACACTGCTCCCCTGTGGGAAGAGGATCAAGGGAGCTTATATTCTGTTCCTCACCATCACTATCTGTTGTCAGAAACTCTGCTAGAAATGCATGTTCCTTTAATTCTGGTCTTTCACACACCCCCCGTTTCTTTCACTCCACCATTGTTGGCCATACCTTCAGCTGCCTGGGTCCTAAATTCTTTAATACATCCTTAAACTTCTCTTTCCTCCTTTAAGACATTTCTTAAAAAATGCATCATTTTTGATCACCTAGTGTAATATTTCTTTCTTTGGCTTGGTATTAACTTTTGCCCAATTTATATTTCTGTGAGATTCCTTGTGGTGTTTTATGATACAAGTGAGAATCATTGCTCGCTTCCAGTGACCGCTGGCTGTCTAACGACCTTCACTGAGCTGTGTGCAATTTAGCATGGACAAAACCATGTGGAATAACCACAAAAATGCAATCATGTTGAGACCTGCATCTCGGAAGCCACTCAACATTTACTGTCCTGAGAACATTGAATCAACATCTAGTGTTAGACAGGAACAGGCAGAGGTGGCAGGTTTCTTCCCCTGAAGGACATTAATGATACAATTAGGTTTCAAACAACAACCTCACAATATTTATTGCCAATTTCAGTTTAGTTCCCAAAATAAAATGTAAAAATATTGAATTCAATTTTAGAATTTGTCATGGTAGAATTTGAACTTATGAGCTCAAACTTGCTGACCCAGTAACAGAACCACTAGATTACTGTACCCTAAAACAAACTTTGCATTTATAGAGGGTCATAGAATCCCTAGTGTGGAAACAGGCCATTCAGCCCAAGAAGCCCACACCAACTCTCCGAAGAGCATCCCACCCTATCCCTGTAACCCTGTATTTCCCATGACTAATCCACATAACCTACACATCTGTGGATGCTATGGGCAATTTAGCATGGCCAATCCACCTAACCTGAACATCTTTGTACTGTGGGAGGAAACCAGAGCACCCGGAGGAAACCCACACAGACACACTCCAAACAGACAGTCACCCAAGGCTGGAATTGAACCTGAGTTCCTGGCACTGTGAGGTGTGTATCAACATCTCTGAGCAGGCTGAGAAAAAATAAAAATCAAATGAATTGTGAAATAAATGAGACATAATAAAATCAGAACATATCCAAATGTATTTCCTTTAGGTCCTCCATGGAAATAAGGAACCACACAATTTGCACCAGTCACAGAATGGCATTTATACAAAACAAATTCATCAGTAAGACGAGTTTACTGAGCTTGTGTGTCATTCTAAAAAGGGGGAGGATTTAACTAAAGTACTGAAATCTGTAATATTTCATAGTGTAAAAATTACTAATTGGCAGAATTTCCCTACATTCTAGGTGTAGAAATAACCAGTTACCAAAAACAATGCAAAAAAGATGTCATGAATTCATCTTTTGTTAACTCCTGGGTTCTGCCATATTCCTCCTTGGCTACTTGCTGGAAGCTGCTAAAGTAGAGGTACAAAAGTCCAGCATTGATGAGACAAAATTTTGCTATTCCCTATATAACAATTTCAAACCACCAGATGTCCCAAAGTGTTTTACAGTCAATAAAATACTTTGTGTCATCACTGTGTAATATAGGAATCATGGCAACCAGTTCATGAGCAACAAACTTACACAAGCAGCAATATAATTTTTTTTTAAAATATTGAGTCAGGGTATTGGTCAAGGTACAATGGAAAACTCTCCAGCCCTTCTGTGAAATTGTGTCATAGGATCTTTAACGTCCACCCAAGAGGGTAGACAGGACCTCTGTTTAATGTTTCATCCAGAAGGTGGCTCATCTGACAGCGCTTCTTCTGTACTAAATAGGAGTGTTGGCCTAGGCTTTGAACTCAGATCCTGGTGATGGACTTGAAGCTAGGAACTTCTGATTTAGATAGAAGGGCTGATCACCGAGCCACAGCTGACATTATGTAGCCTGCAGGTTTTTAATAATTAAATTACTTTTATGTGACATTCCAAACTAATGGGGAGTAAATCTTGACTGTCCACAGGCAAATTAAGCTTCTTGCTGTCTCAAGAACATCTTGCTGGATTATTCCCCCCCTCCCCACCCCATTACAGGAAGCAAGTGTCCTGACAAAGGAAGGGGATAAATTGCAGAATAAACACACAAGCTCCTTTCTCTTCAAGAAATGGATAGTTATTCATTTCTGACTGCTCATTCTACCTACTTTATACAAGAATCAATTTTGCGTCCAAAGTTTTTTTTTAAAAACACACCTGATTGCAGCCATTGGCTGCTTCTGAAAGATTCACAAACCAAAGAGTTGTCCGTGCTTCTCAGGCCTTATCTTCAGACCCATTCACACCTAAAAGCAAAGGGGAGAATTTGGATTAGTTTGAGTCAGGTTGCAAGGTATGCATAGAAAACCAAGCCATTTGGCTCCAGGTGAATCTATACCAACCTTTATGCTGCACATGAGCTTCTTCCCAATCCCCCTTTACCTAACCCTATCAGCAAATCATTCTACCCGTTTCACCCTTATCAAACTTCCCTAAAACAAATTCATTTCTCTTACCTCATCTACTCCTGGTGATAGCAGTTCTACATTCTCACCAAAGACTTTCATTGAATTCCTTATTAGATCGATGAATGACTTTTATATTTTTTGTCCCTTGTCTTGGTCTCTGACAGAAGTGGAAATATCATATCTGCATCTACCTTATCAAAAGTCTTCATAATTTTAGATCAGCCCACAGCCTTCTCCTTTCTAAAAAGGAGAAAACTTTAGTTCTTCCCAAATTCCTATGTAATTATTTTATTAAATGGTACCTAACTTTGCCACATGATTGGCAACAAAATCTTTCAGGGAACTCTGAGGAGCGCCGAGGGGATGAGGTTTTAAGAAAAAGTGGTTTAATTAAACCAGAAGGGAATATCAAAGCTAAGAGATTATAGACACTGATATAACAAGAAATTTTCTGAAGAAAAGTCTAGACCCGAAACGTCAGCTTTCCTGCTCCTTTGATGCTGCTTGGCCTGCTGTGTTCATCCAGCTCTACACCTTGTCATATCAGATTCTCCAGCATCGGCAGTTCCTACTATCTCAGATTACAGATACTGTAGCTTTAGGAATAAGTTTTGCCAGGGAAAAATCCTTGCCCCAATTCAGAAGGTTAGAGTGAGACTTGAACCCCGCTCCCCGATCAGACTTAACAAGAACCCAGGCAGGACTGAGGATATCTGCATTGTTGGAGGCGTCCTCTGAGAGATGAAAATGTTAAACGAGTCCCTTTGAATTTACTGGACTGATTTTTGGGACCTGAGGATAAATTTGCTAGATTTAATCGTCCCTAAATAGTTGCATCAGCCATGGTATAGACTCAAGAATATCAATCTGGACCGATATTCACGTGTCATTCTGTGCAGAATGTCAGAGGTGACATTCGTTGAATGAGACTTTAAAGTGAGGCTCCCTCTGTTCTTTATTCTTGTACAAATCTCAAAAAAAAAGAGATTTCTCCAAACTCTCGGCATGTATTTATCCCTATTCAACATCTTTTTCCATGGCTGGGAGTTAAGATCAAGAAGGAATAATCTCAGGATACGAGGTAAGCCATAAAATGAGAAATTTCTTCATTCAGACTGTTGAACCAGCGGAATTCTTTACTACAGATGGCCGTGGAAGCAAAGTCACTGAAAATGTTGAAGAAGGATAGATTTCCAGAGAATAAGTATTACAGAAAGAAAGCAGAATTACGGCATTGACTGAACATCAGCCACAATCATGTTGCTTGGTGAATCAGACTCATGAGCTGAATGAGAGATAGTAGGAACTGCAGATGCTGGAGAATCCGAGACAACAAGGTGCAGGGCTGGATGAACACTGCAGGCCAAGCAGCATCATAGGAGCAGGAAGGAAGGGTCTAGGCCCGAAACGTCAGCCTTCCTGCTCCAATGATGCTGCTTGGCCTGCTGTGTTCATCCAGCTCTGCACCTTGTTGTCTCATGAGCTGAATGGCCTATTTCTATTCTTATTTTCTATGTTTTTATCTCGGAAAATAAACCAGATTCTCTGCTCATTATCAGCATGCTGTTTGGGGAGCTTGCTGTGTCTCCTACATTATGATTATGACCAGACTTCAAAAGCACTTCATTGACCGTAAAACACTTTGGGAAGTCCAGCGATTGTGCAAAGCTCAATAGAAATGAGGAACTACTTTTCCTGTGGTTCCATGTTACGATAAGGGACACCAGGATTGAGCTTTAATAGATTGTGGGAGACAATCTTAATGAAGTAGCTCCTGGAAGAGACAGAGTTGCCTAGAATCATGGAATCCCTAAAATATAGAAACAGGCCATTCAGCCCAACAAGTCCACACCGACTCTCGAAGAACATTCCACCCACACCCGCCCGCCTATTGTGTGACAGTGGATTTCCCTTGGCTAACCCACCTAATTTACACACCCCAGGTCACTATGGGCAACTTAGCATGGTTAATCCACCCTAATCTGCTCATCTTTGGACAGTGGAAGGAAACCTAGCACCTGGAGAATGTGCAAGCTCTACACAGACAGTAGCCCGAGGCCGGAATTGAAACTGGGTCCCTGGAGTAGTGAGGCAGCAGTGCTAACCAATGAGCCGGTTCGTATTTAACTCATTGCTGCCCTCCATACCTCGTATTCCCCAGCATTCCCGTGACAGGGAAACTAACGTGCCTCCTCTTTCCCTGCCCACCCCAGCAAACTATAAGAGCAGCTTGAAGTGACCGTCTCAATCTCATATCACTGTAGGTGAAGGACCTGAAGGACTATAACAGTTCGTGTAGGTAAGTTGTAGCTCAGCCCTTCCTTCCTGCTCCTATGATGCTGCTTGGCCTGCAGTGTCCAGCCCTGCACCTTGTTGTCTCGGATTCTCCAGCATCTGCAGTTCCTACTATCTCTCATTCAGCTCATGAGTCTGATTCACCAAGCTCCGTGAAGACAAATCAGTTAACGTTTCGAGTCTGGTGACCCTTCCTCAGTTCTTTCGGTTTTTATTTAGTTCACGTAGGTAACTCGCCATCACCTTCCCCAGGGCAATTAGAGATGGGCAATAACTGCTGGCCCAGCCACATCCTATGGGTATGAATTAAAAGGTTACAAATTGCGGCTACTTAGAGTGTTTGCAGTGCCATCACCCTAGATAGATCAGGTTGGATGATCAGTCTCTCACAGTGAGCATAGAGTCAACTGCATGGAAAAAGACCCTTCGATCCAACTCGTCCATGCCAATCAGGTTTCCCCAAATTAAACTCGTCCCATTTGCCTGTGTTTTTGTTCACAGCCTTCTACACCGCAACACTAATTAAAGATCGGGTGTGTTTCTTTTACCTCGATTAACAGTGTTCCTATGTACAATAAAGAAGTGCATTATCATTTGCCCTGCGAACACCTCCCTGTAGCAGTGCAGAATAAGCAATATATTACACCTCTATCATTTACAACACATCCTTACAGCGTATAATTCAAACTCCTCTTTACAGCGTTGACTCTCAACAAGGTACCTGTATGAGAAATTAAAACGACTCTCATGGATGCCAGCTGATTCTCAGTGAGTAGCACTTTTGCTTCAGGAAGTTGTGGGTTTAAGCCCCATCCCAGAGTTCAACAATAACAGCCTTGCTGCGATACTGAGTGAGTGCTGTTCTGTCAGAGACGTTGAATTGAGGTCAGACATTCCCTCTGATGGACGTAAAAAATCCCATTTCAAACGAAGGAAAGGGGTCCACCCGATATTCTGGGCCAACATTTATCCCACAAATCAATATCACAAAATATCCTGTCGTTTATCTCGATGCTGTTCTAGGGGCCTGCAGTCTACATATTGGCTGTCCGTAGACCCTATATTTAAACAACATACATCACTGGAGTGCTGAGAGATAAACTGAGGGTGTCTCCTGTATAGAGATTTTTAGTTCCTGTGGGACACCTACGGGGCGGAGGACAGTGAAGTAGATACATAAATGGGCTTTATATCACATCAATTCCTCGAGCCACAGATCACTTGATTCTCCATCCGAGGGTTCAGATTCCGGTTTCAGTCACAGACCGAGGGGGCGTGTCTCGTCCATTGCGACACCCCTCGCCGTAGAAGGTACTTGTAAACTAGCGTGAACAACATTAATTAGGGTTAAGGGAAATCTGAAAAAGAAGGGTTGCAACCGTTCCAGGAAACAGGGAGAAAGACAGACAGATAGTCAAAAAAAAAACACTGGAGGTTTCCAGAGACAAGAGAAATGGACCAATTTAAAGGACGAGTACGATTTGTCTAAAATAGTCAAAGATGCTCTCCTGACAGAGCCTGTACGGTGGAAGTTGAGAGACCCTCCACCTCCTGCCCAAATAAAAACCAGTTTCGCCTATAGCCACTCAGAACGGGATCTACAGACACGTCCAGCCCTCAACACCGAAATCTCAGTTTCAAATCCTCCTAAACCACAGTGATATCTCGACCTGACTGATCGCGGAGAATGTTAGGCTGGGCTTTCAAAGCAATTTGTAGATAAAACCTGGAGCAGATTTAAAACAAAATCTCCCGCTCTATAGAACAACTTGGAATGTGGAAACCCCGAATCGTCAGTGACGGAGACACAGATAGATAGATATACAGCGAGAGAAGGAAAATCTCCACCGCCTTAGTCACAATCCCAAATACAGAGAGCACAAGAGGACATCAACCTGGAATTTCTTGACTGAAAAATTGCGCCTTCCCACTGCCCCCGAAGATTTAAGCTAACCACTATAAAGAGCAGAGAAACAGGCCATTGGGTCCAACTTATCCATACTAACGTTTTAGCGCCCTCCAATCCTGCCAGGATTCCTTCATTCAATCCAATGTTCCTTTCAACTTCACTTATTCACGTAACTTCTCTTCAAAACGTGTCAAGAATATAAAAGACTTTACATACCTACCAGGGTTACCCCGAACTGCTGGATCAGTGCCGACTAGTTCCTGTCAAACAGCAGCTGAGAGAGCCCTGCCTTCCCATCACATGATATAGAGTAAAGCCAACCCCCACACACAGGAAGTGAAACTGAAAGTGAGCCGGCTCGATCCCTCCCTCTAACCGGCAGCGGCTTATTCACTGCCGTTCAGTCACACACTCAGTGACCCAGAGACGGTACCCTCCTACTCATCAAGCGGCACAGGAGATAGTTAAAAAACAAATTATTCCCGAATTCATAAACTGGCAGCTTAGCTACAATCAGAGCCCGTTCATTCCAAACAAGTAACCTGGAGGTGTCAAAAGATTCAAATCCCACCCGAGCAGTTTGTGAATTCATAAAATCCAGCATTTTTAGGCATCAGATTTTAAAAAAAAACTA